GAATGGGAACATTGTGTTTTTCCGGGACCATCAGCTCCAAGTCAAGTTGTTGTCCTTCAATCTTAGTTGTGGAGGGTGCAAGCTCAGCTCCAAGTCCAGTCGCTGCTTTCAATCTAATTGTGTGTGTGTGTGGGGGGGGGCTGGGGTGCAGCCACCATTTCATGCAGGAGTTGAACCGGCAACCTTGCTGTTAGGAGCATGTGCTCTCACCAGCTGAACCATCCTGCCACTCATTGGCAGCTCAGCGGCAGCTCAGCTCGGGCGCAGCTCACTGGGCCATGTGGGAATCGAATCGGTGACCCTGTTGCTCAGAGCTTGTGCTCTTAACCAACTGTGCCACCCGGCCAGCCCCAGGATCTCTTTTATTGATGAGTAGTAAACATATAGTAAAGTCCCAAACCCTAAGCACTCATATCAGTGAATGTTTATATAAGTATACACAATGTAACCACCACCCTGATCCAGGTGTTTCTGTTAGAGTTAAGAAGCTGTTGGTGGGAGGCTGGATGGCGAGGGAAATCATGACTATGTCCCCAAGTTGCCATTTTCTTCTAGAACTGTCTTCAAAGGGTGTTAAGAAGGAGCCACCTGCCAAGTCTATACAGTAGTGGGGGGAGCAGCACGGTTAGGAGTGTGGGCCGGGCTCTAGCCCACCCCCTTACTGGCCACGGGACTTTTGCGCCTCAGTTTACAACTGTAAAATGGGAATGGATGACAGTCCCTACCTCACAGGGTTGTCACAAAGATTACATGAGGCAGTACATGTAAGTGCACAAGAAATGTTAATTGTTGTTTTTGTTGTTGTAAATAATGAGGCGGCGGCAGCAGTGGTTCTTAATGAAGACTACACATCAGAATCACCTGGGGCACTTGCGCAACATGCACCTGCCCAACCTGGCCGGGTACACTGAGTCAGAATCTAGATTTTAAACTCCAGGCCATTCTGTTGCTTATCCGTGGGTTAGAACCACTGGGCTGGAGGTGGCTGTGACTAGAAGCCGGAAGGCCAGTGGGTGGCCCCTGCGATAGTGAGGGCGAGAGAGGACCGAGCTGGGCGATTGAAGGTAGAGTGGAGGGGTGGCCGAGATGCGGTGACCTCGGGTGGGGGAGCAAGGAAGCGGGGGGAGGAGCTTGGCGTGACTCGCAGGGTGCTGCCCTGGATGACAGGGTGAGCAGGCGGAGGATGAGCCAGAATGGGGAAACCAGGAAGGGGGCGGGGGGCGGGGGCCGGAGATTGTTATCATTCCCTTTGGGACTGTTGAGTGGAGGCTCCTGGTGGAAATAACAAGTTCGTATTCGGATCTCTAGGCCTGGGCATGTCGTGTTTTTCAGGGAGTCCTCGGGGTGCAGGAGGTAGATAAAGCCATGAGCCTGGTCACAGAGCGAATGTAGAGGACAAAAGAGGGCCAAGTTCAGAAGCATCCACCTCTGGGAAGGCCTTCACCCACTTCCCATTCCCTCTCTAGAAACAGAGAAGCGCTTGCTCTTCATGTAAGGACCTCCTTGCTGAGGACCGTTGGGGAATGAAGTCAGTCTTCTCACTTGCAGGTGAATGATAACTGAGTCACTTCTTTTCCTCACAGTTCCCAAAGCTTTCTGTATCCCCTGATGGAGGAGCTTAATCCTATCCCTCAGTATCCTCAGGTGACACATTTGGTTAGGGGCAGTGTCTTACCTTCTGATATCCCTTTGCCCCCATGCTGTCACACATACTCAGCCTCCGGTGGGTGGCATCTTAGGCTCTCTCTTCAGGCTCTTGAGATCAATCAGTCACTCTTTGGTAAGAATTTAAGCCATTTCAGTACCTCTCCCAGAAGCATTTGCACTTAGAATTACAAGTGTAATAGGAATAATGGAAGACGTTGTCTTCCTGAGGGAAAGTGAACCTGGAATGAGTTATTCATTTGGTTATTCTAGACAAAATCCCTGTCCAGTAGACCTTTCTGCATTGATGGAAATGTTCTCTGTGCTGTACAACATGATAGCCACTGGCCACATGTGGCTATTATGAATGTTGGAAATGTGGCTAGTGTAACCGAGGAACTGGATTTTTCATTTTAATTAATTTAAAGTTAAATTTAAAAATTAACAAACGAGGGCCATCTAAGTGGCGCATTGGTTAAGAGTTGGCTTGGGACGCCAGCTCTGAGCAGCAGGGCCCTGGTTTGGATCCCACATGAGGGCCAGTGACGCTGCACCCTCTGCAACTAAGATGATGAACAACAGCTCGACCTGGAGCTGGGCTGCTGTGAGTCGCCGGTGACGGTGTAGGCTGCAGCCTCTGCTGCAGTGGGCTGCAATAAAGCTACCATGACTGTCTGGTAGCCAGTGTGAGCGGCTGGCTGCCGGCATGAATCTCTGTGAACTGCTGTGAGCAGCCTTCCAATGGCCGGCGACCAATCTGCCTCAGCCGGGAAGAGCGCAAAGATGATGCCAACATGGGCCAATGAAGTGACATCCTCCACAAATAGACTGAAGAACAAAAGGACAGCAACTTGTCTGTTCCTCTTCCCTGATTCCCCAATAAAATCTTAAAAAAAAAAATTAACAAAAGAAAAGCAGGCACTATTAGGTTGCATTTACTGGATCAATGAGAGTGAGATGGGGACACTGGGCCTGACACCCCACTCGACTGCC